GCCCGGCCCCGGCCCCGCGCGACCGAACGCCCGACCGCGCCGCGGTACCTGAGCTGCGGCTCATGCGCTTCTCCCAGCCCGCAGGCAGCTTCTCCTCCTCCGCCATCTTCCCTGCGCGCGGCACCTCCTCCCAGCCTCTTCCCCGCTGCCGCACGCGCTGCCACCCATTGGCTAGAGGAAGGCCCCGGGGCACGGAGCGGCCTAGAGGAAGGCCCCGGCGCAGGATGCTGCGACCGGCCATTGGCTCAGAGGGGATCGTGGTCCCGCCTCCAGGCCGCTCATTGGTGGAGAACACACTCCCCTTCCCTCCCGGCCCTGATTGACTCGGAGCGCGAGGCCGCAATGATCTCGGAAGCGATTCAGGGTCGCGTAGCTCGAATGTCGACGGCGGCCTGGGAGGGACAAGGAGCGTTGCGGAACGCCTGCGGGGTGCCGGGGAGCCCTCGGGGCCTCAGTACAGGCGGTGCCAGGGGCCCCGGTTCCCAGCCGGGGTCGGGGGGTGCCTTAACCGCGGGAGCGCGCAGGGGCGCCCCCAGGAGGCTAATTGACCGTCCTTGCAAAATGCAAATGACCCAGAGCCACGGAGCAGGCGCTGGTGCTGTGCGGGCCGGGGCGCCTCTTGCGGCCTGGGTCCTGGATACGGCCTGGGCCCCATCGCCAAGCCGCCCAGGTTGGGCCGCGGCGTGAGATGCAGGCGAAGGCAGGGGAGATTTGCAGCAGTCAGAAGCAAGAGCAGGCTGCAGCAGGTGCTGCAAGGGGCCACCCAGGCCTACGGGAGCAAAACGGGCTGTCCCGATGACTGCCTCTTACTAACTCCTGCTGTTACTTAAAAACTAAAGTTCAAGCATGAAGGACCCTCTCCAACCTGTCCTTCACTGCCTCTAGGAGAGCCGTGGGGGTCAGAAGGCCAGGAAGGTTTGCATCTTCCCCAGACTAAATCAGAGATGCACAAGCTTTGCTCAGCAAGAGATTAAATTTATGGATCTTTGGTTTAATCTATGAGGTGTAAAGTGCAAATGCACATGCCTTCTGATCCATTGCATTGATCAGGCTGGAGCCAACTGGCTGCTCCCTGTGGTGAGGGGAGCTGCAGAAATTTGCATTTTGATAGTTTCCCCTCTGAGTCGCTAGTAGCTCTGCACCTGCCACCTTCCTAGTGACATGCACCTTTTCTAGCTATGACATTCCTTTTGGTAATTTTTCGTAAGATACAAAAGTAAAAGCAGGTGTCCTGCCCCAATTCCAGTCCAGGCAGTTCCTAATTTCCCCCTGCAGTTTTAGGTACAAAATTCTCTGCTTCCTGGTCTAAGCCGTGATCCAACTGAACAAATGCTGCATGTCCACAGGAGGCTGCACTCATGTTGATCTCACAAGAATACCTGAACTTCCTGCTTACCCCATCTCCAAAGTTAGGGTTGAGGAATATCATGATTAGGAAAGCTTGCCTCACTGGGCCTTCTGGTTAAAAGGACTCTGAAACAGTCCAAGACTCGCTAATTTCACCAACAGGAAAATAAATTACTTAAAAGGCACCATAAACATCCATATTTGTCAGTGGAAAGCTTTAAATAAGAAAGAGAACAGCTGTTGTGAAAAGAGTGTTTCATTTAACATCCCTGCCTCTGTGCTTAGGCTGACTCAGAAATGCACAGAGAGGCTGCTTTCTCATTGGCCATTTAATTCTGGAAAACATTAAGACAAAATCATCTCCTGCTGCTGCCCTGAACTTCAATCTCAGCTGATTAAACATGCTTATTAACTGCAGGCAGCTGCTCTACTGCACGTGACACACATTACTGAGCAGCACAGAAATAAGCTCAGTAAAATGAAAGAGTGGGTTTGGGGGTCTGCACACACATTGAAATACTCCTTTTAAAGTGTTTTTTAATGGATTCCTCTCATTCATCCCAGTCTCACTCCCAATCTTGTTGCTTTGGCTGGGATCCCAAGGCAATTCACATCAATTGTGTTAAATGAGCAGTGCAGAGTGGGATTTTTTTTTGCTTGAAGTATCATTGAAAAACAATAGTGCGTAACACACAATGGTCAGCAGCTCCATTAGAGGCATGTAATGGGAACTGCTTTTTGCATTTGTCAGTCTAGATCATACTTTAACCACTGAACTGAAGTTTCTGTTGAGAATAAATTACCACTCCCCTCCCCTGCCCCAAAAAAAACAAACAAAAAACCAGACTGCTTCTAAGTTGAATTAAATGCATTTGCTCTGGGTTTTCAATTCTCAACCAAAAACAAGTCTAGCCTAGGAGATGGCGATAGAGCAGCTTTCATGTTATTTCAGAAAGCTCAAGGCTGTCTTCTACTAGCTATGTTGATTAGGTTTGCTGTGGAAGTTACCAAGAAAGAGATTTTGTCTGCCTTAAAAGCCATGAACAGGACACTGCAACTGTCAGGAAACATTTATTACGAACACAAATTTAAGAACATAAGCAATTTTGTTATAAGTTTGCTGCCTGTGTTATTGCCAAAGCCAAATAGCTCTGACTAAACTATATGCACAGCTGGAGCTTTTCACTTGCACTTTACACTAAATAAGGAAATATATAGACATGTTTAATATTAGAAGGAAAGCAGAAAGTGTGCTGCCTGCCATATACAATTGCAGCTCAAGTCCAAACTACTGATAGTATAGCTCCAGGTTCATGCCATCATGGATTTCATCTGAAGAGTAAAAGTTAAGGGAATTCCCATGGAAATATATTTAAATACAAACAGAAAGAGGGTGTTAGATATGAACATCTGTCAGACCAACGATTCAAAAATCAACAACAGCAGGAAACTTCTTAGATAAGTGCACAAGTTCTCAGCAACATGATTCTTCTTATTCCATGTCACAACCCGGATAAACTGCTGGCCTCACAAAAAAGAGTCTGAGACCCATGTGCTGCTTGTAAGTGCTAACGTCTGAAGCAACAAACTGGGAAGTTAATCCAAAGGGTTTTTTGTGTTTGTACCAAGAGATTTCCTAAAGAATCACCACTGTGCTACATGACTGACCCGTTACCATTAATCAGTGCCCAAGAATATAAACAAGACATCTCATTAGTGACAAGCAGCAATATCTGATAAGGAAGGGGTGCTGTCTGACTGTGTACATGCAATGTCTCTCTCTCTCAAGTACTTAGAGAGTGACACCTGTTTTCTAAAAGGTTTACTTTAAAAGATGCTGATGTCTTTAAAATGCATTTTACCTAGACCACTCTGATTCTTAAGGATACAGTCTCCCAGTGAAACGTGATCCTTGAAAATGGTGTACCTGCAAGAGTTTGAAAGGAAGTTAAAACACCTAAGCTCGTTACAAGGTTCAATAAAAGGAAATGGAGCCAATAAAGGGACTATTGTTGTATTATCAATATTTCCCAATAGTAATTACTTAATAAAAAAAGTGAGCAGTTGAGATATGAAGGCCAGAGTTTCATAAGCAAAATGTTTTCATAGCCAGCAATCATCAAACCCAAAAAGCATGGGAGGGAAGAGACACCCTAGGTGCTGTTACAAGACAAGAAGCCTTCATTTCACCTACAGGATAAATACAAAGAGCTCTAGTTCAGGGTATAGAAATACTTCAATCCAATGTCTGCTAAAGGTTTTAACTGTATTTCCACTCCTGCTAACCCGTTTTTGTTTCAACTTCTAATAAAAAATCTCCCTCACAGCAACCCCCTCTTCCCCCAACATGTCACAGCCCACGGCCTTGATGAACATGCGCTTCTGGGGGAGCAGCTGCAGTCAGCACCACAAGAAAATGGTTACAGTTAAGGACTGGATCAAACCCGGGGCCCATCAAAAGACACCCAGGACTTGGGCAACCTCCCTGGAGAGGACAAAAGGAGGAACTTACCTGCTGGGGCCAAAGCTGGCAGCCGCCAGGAGCCCCTGGGCTGCCCAAACCTGACCCAGTCCCACACTCACCATTTCTTCAGCACGATCTTGTCCCAGCGGGTCCCGGTCTGAGCCGCGATGAGTTTCTTCAGGTCACGGATGCTGTCCTCTGTGCTGGGCGCCGCGGTTAAGGGAAGTGCCTAGGACCCGACAGCCGCAGGAACAGGAGCTCTCCCACCCCACCCCACCCCCTGCTCGCACCGGGCCGGCAGACAGCCGGGCCTGGCCCCAGGATAGGATACTTGCACTTGACACGCACTTTCTTGCCCAACCGATCGTTGCAAACCACCTCGATCATCCTGCTGCCGCCTGCGGGGCCGGGGCAGACCCGTGCGAGCTCGAGGACGCTCACTACCGCAGTCACAACCACGCAGCCGGGAGAGGACGAGGCCTGTAATGACCCGGAAGCAGACGGACCCAACGCGAAATAGAGGTCATGTCCCGGAAGCGGAAATGGGTGCCGGGTATGGCGGCGGCGCTGGGGCGGCCGAGCCTGGACGCGCTGCCGGACTCGCTGCTTCTAGAGATTCTCTCGCAGCTGCCGCTGAGGGAGCGGTTGCGCGGGGCCAGGTGCGATCCCCCACCCCCCGGGTGGCTCAGTCTATTCCGTCCCTGCAGCGTCCCTAGCCCTTGCGGTGGTTCAACCCATCCTGCTCCTGCACTACCTTCCCCCCCGTCCCTGGGTGGTTCAGCCCATCACGTCCCTACCCCTGCAGTGTTCACCCCCAGTCCCCGGGGTGGTTCAGCCCAGCTTTACCCCCTCCTCCCCTCTGCTGAGCACCTCCCCTAGGCTCGGTTCCTGGGGTGTTCTTCCTGGGGAGCCCTAGGCCCCTTGGCTTACAGGAATGAGGCTCCTCCCACGTCCTTCAGGGCCCAGGCCCCACGTCCACCACCACCCCCCACCCCCTACCT